AAATCTTGACAGAAACCAGAAAAGAGTGCCTAATAAATTTTTTTTTTTTGAGGCAATCTCGCCCTGTCGCCAGGTACCAGGCTGGAATGCAGTGGCATGATCTCGGCTCACTGCTACCTCAGCCTTCCGAGTTCAAGCAGTTCTCCTGCCTCAGCCTTCCGAGTAGCTGGGACTACAGGCGCACGCCACCACTCCCAGCTAAGTTTTGTATTTTAATAGAGATAGAGTTTCACTATGTTGGCCAGGATGGTCTGGCTCTCTTGACCTCGTGGTCTGCCTGCCTCGGCCTCCCAAAGTGCTGAGATCACTGTGCCTGCCATAAATTATTTAAGTGGTGAGAATTTTTAAGTGATGAAAGTGTTACCTCTTAATGAGCATCATTTTTTAAAACTTTAGGATTTAAGGGTGTGACTAATAATTTAGTGGATGAGTAACTTTCTTCATTTCTTAGATACTTTATCTTAGCTTTCCATATGAAATAGTAAAACCTCTTACTATAGAATAAAGTATAAACTTTAGAATAAAGAATAAACTTCTTTATCCAGCTTCATATACCACAGGTGATTAAGAAGAGGTCAAGAAATATTACATTATCTTTTCCATGTACTGTGACTATGGTGCTTAAGATCCGAACACTTTTTTCATGACAGCATATAGTCTTTCTGAAAAAAAGAAAAAGGAAAAGCATTTTTACTTTAAAGAAACTTTCCTTGATAAATTGCAACAAAAGCTGTTAATTTCTTTCTGTTTCACTTTTGATAAAATATAATTAACTGATTTTGAATGGTTACTGTTTATTAAGCCTTGTTCCAGTTTGCTAAGCACAATCTAAACATGTCCTTTAACCTTTACAAGAAGGCTGAACTATATTACTTGCAATACGTTATTGTTTCTAGTTCGAAAATGGAGGGAATTGGCTCAGAGAGGATGTTACTTGCATGTAGAACTCATTGATAGGAAGAATAGGATCCTGAGTTTGATTCCAAGTGTCCATGCCATAATCTCCTAACCTGATATGGTACGTTTGAGTACCAATATTTCTGCCACTTTTCAGAAAAGTTATTTATTTAATCAAGCTAAAAACAAAAGTGAGCAAACAGAAATGTCATTTATTGATTTACCTCTAAGAAAATGAGTAAATTCGTTTATTTCACTCAGAAGCAGATATTTTATTGAACTGCTACTATATGTCTGCCTCTATGTAAAATACCTGACAGAATTGTTTAAGTTGGTGGGGGACTCGAGAAAGGTATCCACTTAAAATTATAAATTCAGACCTGACAGATGGTATCAGAACTGTCTTCCATCAAAAGTAGAAATGGGATCACATTTTTATGGAGGACTGTCAACAAATTAGTAACTTGAAAGGATGCACTTTAAAAAAGACAATCTCAAGAACAAAAAGAGAAAAAAGATTTAAAAATTTTTAAATTATATAGGAAAAGATGCCTTTTGACACTGCCCCTCATCCAACTAGAGAGGGATTAAAACAAGTGATGATAAAAGAATAGGCTGGGTGTGGTGGCTCACGCCTGTAATCCCAGCACTTTGCGTGGTCAAGACAGGCAGAACACTTGAGGTCAGGAGTACAAGGCCAGCCTGGCCAACATGATGAAACCCCGTCTCTATTAAAAATACAAAAAATTAGCCAGGCATGGTAACACCTGTCTGTAGTCCCAGCTATTTGGGAAGCAGAAGCAGGAGAATTGCTTGAACCCAGGAGGTGAGGTTGCAGTGAGCCGAGATCATGCCACAGCACTCCAGCCTGGGTGACAGAGCAAGACTCTGTCTCAAAAAAAATAAAGGAATTCATAATTTGGTAAGAGAAAGATAACTTTTTTTTTTTAAGTGTACAATTTGGAATCTGGTGGATGTGTTAGGTAGAATTCTAAAGATGCAGCCCAGTGCAGTGACTTACACTTGTAATCCCAGTCCTTTGGGAGGCCGAGGCAGGTGGATGACGAGGTCAGGAGTTTGAGACCAGCCTGGCCAACATAATGAAACCCCATCTCTACTAAACATAAAAAATTGTGGTGGCTCACGCTTGTAATCCCAGCACTTTGGGAGGCCGAAGCGAGCGAATCACCTGAGGTTGGGAGTTCGAGACCAGCCTGACCAACATGGAGAAACCCTGTCTCTACTAAAAAATAAAAAAGAAAAATTAGCTGGACGTGGGGGGTGCATGCCAATAATCCCAGCTACTTGGGAGGCTGAAGCAGGAGAATCGCTTGAACCTGGGAGGCAGAGGTTGCAGTAAGCCGAGACTGCACCATTGCACTCCAACCTGGTCAACAAGAGCAAAACTCAGTCTCAAAAAAAAAAAGAAATTAGCTGGGCATGGTGGCACATGCCTGTAATCCCAGCTACTCGGGAGGCTGAGGCAGAAGAATTGCTAGAACCCGGGAAGTGGAGGTAACAGTGAGCCAAGATCGTGCCATTGCACTGCAGCCTGGGCAACAAGAGCAAAACTCAGTCTCAAAAAAAAAAAAAAAGAAAAGAAATTTAGCTGGTTGTGGTGACAGTTACCTGTAATCAATCCCAGCTACTCAGGAGACTGAGGCTGGAGAATTGCTTGAACTTGGGAGGTGGAGGTTGCAGTGAGCTGAGATCATATACTGCTGTGAAGGGACTTTGTAGATGGGAGTTAAAAGTTATGCTTATCAACTGACCTTAAAATTCGGAGATTATCCATAGGTGATGTGTGTACAGGTCGGCTCAGTATAATCACATGAGCAGCAGCAGCACGCAGAAACGTTTGTCATAGAATTGCGGAGAAAGGGAGCAGAAGAGAGAGGGGACAGTCAGAGAGGGTCTAACGGAAAGGATTTGCGTGCCATTGCTGCTCTAAGATGTGGGGCCCTCTGAGAAATGGCAAGAGAGGATCTAGGAGCAAAAGGGATACCTAGCTGACAGCCAGCAAAGAAATGGAGACCTCAGTCACACAACTGCAAGGAAGTTGATTCTGCCAGCATCCTGAATGAGCTTGGAAGCAGATTGTTCCCCCAGAGCCTCCAAATAAGGAAGATAGCCCTGCTTGCACCTTGATTTTAGCCTGTTGATGCCTGTGTTAGACTTCTGACCTTACAGAATAGTAAGGCAGTAGGTGTTTTAAGTTGCTAAGTTTGTGGTAGTCTGTTATAGCAACAGTGACTAATACAGAGAACAAATTTCACCCTTATTCATATCTCACACCATTAATATTATTTTGTTAATTCCCCTCCAGTCGTTGTTGATATGTGCCATTTGCTTAATTGTAAACCTAATAGTGCACATTTATTTTTGGATCCTACTGCTTTGCTTAACTTGATCAAATATATTTCTCTGTGTCACTACATAGTTTTACTGATTATTACTTTTAATAGGACTGTAGTGTTCCTTTGAGTAGATGTAGCATGATGTGCTTAACCTGTTGGACTTTCTAGATTTTCATTATTATTAAACTGCAGTGTACCTTTCCATGCATATGACCTTTCTTATACTTGAAATCATTGGAGTAAATTCTCAGATATATCATGACTGGGTCAAAAGATTATGAACATTTTTATAACTTCTGTTATATATTGGCAAGTTTTAAGTGACTTATCAATTTGAAAGTCCTTAGTAAGGATAAGAGAACCATGTTCACTGAAATCATAATTAACCATTAGTATCTTTTCTTTTGATACACAGTTTTACTCTGTCCCTCAGGCTGGAGTACAGTGGCGTGATCTTGGCTCACTGCAACCTCCACTTCCCGAGTGCAAGCAATTCTCATGCCTCCGCCTCCCAAATAGCTGGGATTACAGGCGTGTGCCACCATGCCCAGCTAATTTTTGTATTATTAGTAGAGATGGGGTTTCACCGTGTTGACCAGGCTGGTCTTGAACATCCTGACCTCAGGTGATATGCCCTCCTCAGCTTCCCTCCCAAAGTGCTGGGATTACAGCTGTGAGCCACCATGCCTGGCAGCTAGTATCTTTTTAAAATACATTTTTTGCCAATTGGTGGAGAGTTTAAATTCAGTAGTTCCTAATTTGTTCAAAGAATTAATGTGTAAGCTACTATTAAGTATTTTGGCGGGGGAGGGAGGATAAGACGCTAAAAAACTGCAGTACCTGATGAAGAAGTAGGAGAGTGCAAAACAGTTATAATGAAGTTAGTCACATACAAGTCATAATCTCTTAAGAAGATAACTTCATGTCAGACAATTTTTATACCAACTCAATTTTTTTTATCAGCAGTGTATTCACAGTCTACTGATACGACATTCTTATTTTTTGCATCTATCATGCTGATTTTCTAATAGCTGTTTAAACCATAATTATTGTACAGTTGATTGTTCTCTTAAGTTTCCAACTTATATTCCATTAATACCATGCAAAGTGAACATTTTTAGTTAGAAAAAAATGTATGGATAAACGTATTTTGATTGAGTAGAGAGACTAAGTGCTAACTTACAGTATTGTACATACTTCAGAGCCAAGTGGGCTATTGGACTCAGAATGAAGTCTAGCTAATACTGAAATATAAAGTACATATTTTCTCTGCAGCTTTATGCGTTTAGCTTGCTCACATGTAAGGAAGCAATGAGTTAAAGTAAAATGACAATAAATGGGAAGTTAGGATTCTAGAGCCTATTGTGTTATTAACTATTACCTCGAACATGTCACTTACCTCTGGGCGTCTGTTTTCTGTTCTATAGAAAGGGGGATTGAATATGTTGATCACATAAAAATTGATCAATTGATCTTATAGGAGCAGTATGAAAGCACTTTATAGGCAGTGAGGTGGGCTATTGAAAAAAGGTACATTATAGAAATCATTACATTGTCTGTGACTGGTATGGAAATTAAATGAGGAAATTTCTATAAGCACCCAGAATTGACCTGGCACATGGTAAGCATTCAGCATTAGCTAGTATGAAAATAGAGACTAAAATTCTGTTTTTGAAAATTAAACTGCTTTAGAATCTGTACAAAAATAAACTGTACTTTAAGTAAGCACGTGCTTTTATTTTCTAGGATCAAATCTAAATCGCTGTGGTTTCCGAGGCTCTTCATACCTGGGTATTCCATTCAATCCATCAAAGGTTGGTTCTGTTTGGGTCAGAAGGAAGCAGAAGTGATGTAGGGATGTTTTAGTGAGAGAGAAAACTAAGAAATTACACAGAAAAAAACTGGCTTCCCAGTTTCAATGTGGCGAAATGCTGTCTAATAATATGTATTATAAACTGAAGCCCTTTAAAGGAAACCTATACCTACTTTACTTCCTCAAAGAAGTGCATTTTCTTCCAGGAAGAATACATGCAGCACATAAACCCAAAAATTTCTATTAATTCTTACAAAAAAATTGTCTTAATATCATGTATCTGTGTGTAAAAGTTATGGGTGATTCCTTGAAGAAAGGAAATAGAGCACTGAAGTGTTCTGATGATTGCTCTCTAAGAAGCCGGTAAACTTCATTGTGTTATAGAAAGTCTCCACATTTAGTTCACATTTCTTAGGAGTAAAAGAAAAAGCCCTTCTAAAGGCGGTGATTGAAGACCTAAATAGTGATCATTTAATGACTTTTACGGGAATTGGCAGAACTTTTTCATGGTTATATCCAAAGACTTTGATACCCACGCATGCCAATATAAAAACAGTGAGTCCTAGCAGAGGGTGGAGCTTTATTTCTTCTTCAAAGAAGCAGACCTAGAAGAAAATTTTTAGGTGTTTCATGTGTGTACAAAATACCAATATTTTTCTACAGTAGAAAATGGAGAAAAGCATCATTTTTTCTAAAGAGGCCTCATAACATAGAAACTTTTTTTTTGAGGCCTCTTTATATGGTTATAAGCCAGTATCTTGTTGGGCTGTGTATATCAAGGTTTGTATCCACTTGCAAGGTAAATGAAGAGCTGCCAGTTATTTCTATAACATGCTTCAAATTTTTGGAATAAATAGTAATTTTGGAGAAGTTGACATGGTTTGATAGAGGTACTACTTTGGCTTTCTTCCTCTCCCTTAAGCTGTCAATCAGCTTGCCTGTGTCAAGGTCATACGAATTTACCAGCAGGACTCCAATTATGGGTTCCCACTGCACTTAGCAGGGAATGAGAAAACAAAGGATTCATAAAATTTGTTCCTTTTCATGCCTATCAGATTTTCCAACTTAGGTTAATCCTGAATAAAGATAGTCACAATGAACAGAATATCTGAGTGTCATGCCATTGGTAATGATGGCCGTTATATAGTACTATACCATAGATAGATATATACCTATATTTGTTGGTGTGCCTTAATAACATTACTTTTACAATATGATCCCCTGACTGACTCCTGCACCAAGACATTTTCAAAATAACAGGAGTAAAATTGAAGAAGAAACCATTATTGTCCTTGGTTCACAGAGTCTCCTGAAACTCCTTTTTGGACCTTCAGTCACTTGGGACCCTGTCATCTTCTGGGCAAGCTAGGTCCCACTTTGTGCTGTATTACCTTCATCTGAATTCTGGGTGGTAAAAGGAATTAGATATTTTAAGTGGTATCACATAGAGCTGTCACTGAGAGTGGTGGCTGGGAGTCCAGGAGACAGATTAGGCCAAGAGAATGTGAGGAGGCACTTTGGATTGTCCAGTACAGTATATGAATAAAATACTGTCACTGATTTTTCTTGTGAAACCACCAAACTACCTATGGACCATTCGTTGACTTACCTGATAAATGCTTGGAATGTTCATTGCCTCCAGAGCTCTTTTTGAGAAACACTGATGGATCTTTCCACTATTCTCACTATTTTCTTTCATTAATCCAATATTCTCTATCACATTTTGTATTGTCCTTAATGTGTACTCCGGAATTTTCCATCTATAATTTGCTTTACATTTCCTTCTACCTGTAATGCCGCCTCTTCATCTATACCTGCACAAGCTCCTCTTCTGCAGAAAAGAATTCCGTTTTAAACCCATGTATCATTATCCCTCCCTTATGACTGCTTATTACATTCTGTTGTAATTATTTGAATAGACTTATCTTCTGCCCTTAAGGTTAAGGTCCACATTTAATTTATGTTTGCATTCCCTACAGTTCTTTTAACATAGCAGGTGTTTAAGTACCAAAAAGTGAAATACACAATAGAAATTCTAAGAAGTCTATTGTAAATATTGAATAGAATAGCCAGGAGAATGAGAGCTTAAGTTCTAAGGAGGAACTTAGGATGAAAGATGTAAAGATAAAACTTTGCTTGGACTATTTGTGAGACCATATAACTGTGTATCTGGCCAAGATCCATGACTCACACCTGTAATCCCAGCACTTTGGGAGGCTGAGGAGGACGGATCACTTGATCTCAGGAGTTTGAGACCAGCCTGGGCAACATGGTGAAACCCAGTCTCTACATAAAATACAAAAATTAGCTGGGCGTGGTGGCACGTGCCTGTAGTCTCAGCTACTTGGGAGGCTGAGGCAGGACAGGAGGATTGCTTGAGCCTTGGAGGCAGAGGTTGCAGTGAGCTCAGATTGTGCCACTGCCCTGCAGCCTGGGTGACAGAGCAAGACCCTATTTCAAAAAGGAAAAATGTGTATCTAAAGGTGGGTAGGTGGGGTGGGTTCAGATTATTATAAAAAGGGTAGTTAACACCATGCAAACTCATTCTGTGAGGAACCATAGGAGGTCAGTATGTAGGAAAATCTTATGATTAAGTCATGGGTGGGTTTTAGACCCTTGAATCTTGACTTTAAAGAACTAGTGGCCCCTTTGATATTTACCTTGTACTTAATCGTCATTAAGATAGCTAACAACTTTTTAGACAGTAACTTTTTTAATCTTCACCATAACCCAGTGAGGTATAGGTACTAATAACTTCATGTTCTAAAATTAGGAATATTAACGCAGTAAGAAATAGAACCAGAATTTTATGCCTTTCAATTATTGTAAAAGTTTACATTTATTAAAGAAGGCAGAGGAGTTTATTTTAACCAAAATCGTGGTACAGATTTTATCTTTCTACTTTTATAAGCAGTTATTCCAGCATTTGAAGCCATTACTGGTGAACACACACTAAAATAGAAGGGATTCCTATGAGAAGATGAGTTAACAATATACTCTTATTCTGTTAAAAGTAAAACTTTTTTAAACGTAGAAATAGTACAATGAAATTTTATATTTTTCAAGTGAAAACATCTTTTGACATAACCAATAAATAGGATTAGTTGATTATTTGAAATTGATCATAAAACTCAGTGCTTTTTTATGTTTTGGAATGTAAAGCTATTTAGCATAATAAACCATTTTTAATTCCAGTTTTATCTATGCCATTGCCAACTCCCAGGTTCTTTATAGGGTATCCTACAAGGAGTCACATATTTTATTAAGTTTAAGAAATCTTTGATAACTGTAATTCTCTTTTTTAAAATTTTACTTTAAGTTCTCAGATACATGTGCTAGACATGCAGGTTTGTTACATAGGTATGCATGTGTCATGGTGTTTTTGCTGCTCCTGTCAACTCATTATCTAGATTTTAAGCCTTGCATACTTTAGTTATTTGTCCTAATGCTCTCCGTCCCCTTTCCCTCCACCCAGTGACAGGCCCTGATGTGTGATGTTCCCCTCCCTGTGTCCATGTGTTCTCATTGTTCAACTCCCACTTATAAGTGAGAACATGCGGTGTTTGGTTTTTCTGTTCCTGTGTTAGTTTGCTAAGGAAGAGGGTTTCCAGCTTCATGCATGTCCCTGCAAAGAACATGAACTCATTCTTTCTTATGGCTGCACAGTATTCCATGGTGTATATGTGCCACAGTCAAATCATTTGAACTAATCTGACACATATTGTGGTAATATGAGTTTCCAAATGTGACTTCTTTGTTTGCCTGGATAATTGCTAGTCTAATAATCTTTCCTTGGAAGCATAGGATTCATCACTTTTTACAGGCAAAAATCATTTGGGCTCTAAATTTTAAAAGTTACACTATTTTATTTCTAAATAAAATACAAACAAAAAGAAATACAAAGAAAGCTCCAAATACTAAATCAGTTTTCCAGTTTTAATTGTTTTAGTATTTGGAGCTCTTTGCTTTTTTGTTTTTTTCGTTTTGTTTTGTTTTTTGCTATTCCAAGAGCCAATGTTTTACTAATGACTCAAACTTTATATTAGAGCAGAATGACAAGATTTTCAACTGTATCCTTTTAAAATTTCTTATATGGCAATCACTACTGTGTTATTAAATTTAGATTTGTACTATATAAAATAAGTTTTGTTGGCCAGGCACAGTGGCTCACGCCCATAATCCCAGCACTTTGGGAGGCCGAGGTGGGCAGATCATGAGGTCAAGAGATCGAGGCTATCCCAGTCAACATGGTGAAATCCCATCTCTACAAAAACACAAAAATATTAGCCAGGCGTGGTGGCGCGCATCTGTAGTCCTAGCTACTTGGGAGGCTGAGGCAGGGGAATCGCTTAACCCTGGGAGGCGGAGGTTGCAGTGAGCTGAGATAGTACCACTGCAACTCCAGCCTGATGACAAAGCGAGACTATTTCTCAAAAAAAAAAAAAAAGAAAGTTTTGTTTTAGAAATCTTTTTGTCTGGAAGGCTGTATGCTTTTTTGACTTTATAGACTTATATTATAAGTAATAGTGTTGATTTTGGGTTTAAATAATTTAGTCAGGTATGGTGGTTTGTGTCTGTTGTAATCCCAGCTACTCAGGAAGCTGAGGCAGGAAAATCATTTGAGCCCATGAGTTGGAGGCTGCAGTGAGCTATGATTGCACCACTGCACTCCAGCCTGGGTTATAGATAAGACCCTGTTACCCACTCCCCAAAAAAATCCAAAACAACAAATAATAAATAATTTGGCTTACCTGAATATCATAGCTGCTTCCATAATGCCTGAGGTATCAAAGAATTTAAAAATTAGGTAGCTTGAAATGTGTGTAATCATATTCATGTTGAGACATATATAAAATGGAGGGTTTTTTTTTTTCCTTAATAAGATGTCTATAATAAGTGTAAGCCACATTTAATTTTACTATTTTCTAAAAACATGTCAGATTTCTTAATGAAATAAGTTTTCATTTCGCTTCATTAATTAGTACTATATTAATTTTGTATTTAGACTCCTGGGACAGCTCATCCTTATGATAGTGGCCACATTGCAATGACCTACACTGGCCTTTCATGCTTAGTTATTCTTGGAGACGACTTAAGCCGAGTAAATAAAGAAGCTTGCTTAGCAGGCTTGAGAGCCCTTCAACTGGAAGATGGGAGGTATGAGTGTTTCTTTGTTACTCTTTTTGTGATAAACAAAAATATTTTGGAACTAAAAAATGAATACAACACTATACTAGATCTTTAGAGGATCATACTCTTAGAACCACCTAAAGTTTATAAGTTACATAATTAAGTGCATAATCAAAAAAGTGACCCAAGATTTCTTCTGTGAGTGAAAATAAAGGTAATTACAATAGCCAGACTCCTTTCTCTTCCTTTTTAACAACAATGGGTACATAGATAAATGGTTGAATAATTTCAGGATTAGAATCTAGTTTACATTCTAGATGAAAAATGGTTGTTTTGAAGTATGTATACATTTAGTCTGAACTTACAGTTCCTTGTGATATGTTGATTGGGGAAAAAGGGGTGAACATTCAGTATTATATTCCAGGATAGGTAGTTTCTATGACAATTTTAAAAGATAGAAAAGGGAGTTCATATGTTCATTAATAATTGGTGATTCACATGGTGTGTCTAAAGATGAATCTTCCTGGAGTTTTAAGGTAGAAAAAATTAAGTCTGAGGAGGGATAAAGCAGTAGTGAAAAGGCTAAAGACTGCAGACAAATCCTGCTGTGCTCTTAACTCTTTGTGCTCCTATCTACTAATAGCTTTCTTTTCCTGTCAGTGTTTTCAAAACACTGCTCTTGATGAGGCAAAAATTAATGGAGACAAGTAGAATAAACTGACATTAATTGGAAACACTAAGAAACTATTCACTTCACATATATGACTTATATCTCAATGTTTCAGTGTTGTCTTTGATTACTGCTTCCTTATTCTTGTTTAAAAATAAATATATATGCAACATACATTGCTGCCTCTCTACAACTAATATGTGAAAATTAAAATACAATATGATTAATCAATTAAATGGTTATCTCTATATACATTTAGAAGAAATTTTACATAGAAAAACTTGGGCTTGGAAATTTCTTACTACCCAGTAGGTCTCAGGTTTTACCTTTTACTTTTTCTGCCATTCTCAAGCCAGTGTGCTGCAGCTTTCCCTGGCTGGAAGCAAATAAGCTTATGCTGAGTCAGCATCTGGGAAGCAGTAACATGATAGTGTGTAAAACTACCCGGAAGTCATAAGATTGTAGTAGAATAATGATTTAGAGAAAGTTTTATATTATTCAAGTTAGTAATCTTAATCTTTATTGAATAATACAAGTAGAATAATTAGCAATAGATTTTTCTGTCATTAAAGACACAATGGAGGTATTTCTAACCCCCATGCAAAAAAAAAATCAGACTCCATTGTTCATGGAAAATCATATCGTTGTTATTGTTTTCAGTTTTTGTGCAGTACCCGAAGGCAGTGAAAATGACATGCGATTTGTGTACTGTGCTTCCTGTATTTGCTATATGCTCAACAACTGGTCAGGCATGGATATGAAAAAAGCCATCACCTATATTAGAAGAAGTATGGTGAGTCCTGTTGATAAAATTGACTATTAAGGTTGTTTTTGCTGGTACATGAGGACTGTATTATAGTGTATGTCTCATCTCTTCCACCAAGAATTTGTAAATAAGAGCATTAAGATTGCTTTTCAGGTAAATTGTGTATCAGAACACAGTAAAGAAATAATCTTAAAGGGCTGATTGACTCCTTGACCATTAAAATTTAATTTGATTTTATCTAAAGAAGCAATGTCTTTATAAAAAAGGGATTGGTTGACTTGTACAAGAAAAAGAAGTAAAATCCGAAAGTCAAATATTGACAGCCTGTTCTGTAACAGGAGATAGTAGAGAGTCCTGTCAAGCAAACTGGAAGATTATGGTATCTTTGGTGAGACTATAATCTTTTTATTAGCATTAGTAAGGAAAGCTTAGTTTCAGCCAGAACTATCCTTTGCTCTGGCTAAGGATATCCTTTGCTGTGTCCTCTCTGTAATAAAGGAGAAATACAAGTACTGCTTCCTAGATTTATTATTTCCTAAATGCGAAGTTTTTCATTTTATAGATTAGAATATTTTAGGCTGTTAATGCAACTTTTAATAGGCAGTATTTCAAAATGAAAATGTCTGTGAGTTCCTAAGACGAATGGAGTTGCATTTAAGCAGTTAACTGTGGATCAGATTTTTGTAGAATCTACAACAGCACAAATTTTTAAAAGCTTGTGGATACAGAAAGAAGAGACCATTAAAGGAGTTTTAAGAGGAAAAGAGATTTATGTTTGATAGGAAGGTGGGTGATAAGAATTTTTGGTATGGATAGTATAGAAGTAATACTAATACTGTCTTCTCAGTGCACTGTATTTGGAGGTGCAGCAAGTTAATTTGCCCTATTTCTGCTCACTTGGTTAAGGTGGCATGTGCCAGAGTTTTCTCTGTTAAGTTAATGTTTTCCCTTTTGTAATTATTCAATATCTTATGGTGAGATATCTGGAAACTATAAATATTCAGTCAGTTCCCAATCAAATTTTTATCCAGTAGTGTTGTTAGTATGCATTGATGATTTTCCAGCTTTAGCATCCTTCTTGTAAATATCAGTTAAAATTCTACTGTTTGAAAAAAACTTTCTCTCGGCCTTTATTTATTTACTTAAACTTACTTACTTATTTATATCTCTGTGGACTCTGGATTCTTATTTAATTCAATGGGTTGGAATCTGTTACTGTCATTATTTCGATGCTCAGATTGTCCTGGATTAGGCCTATGGAAACCCCTTTGAGTAGACTCTATGCACTTTTGACATGTTCCCTTCGTTCTTTGAAGACCTCCTTGCTTTCTGGCACAAGATATTCCAGGTTTATCTTCTACTTTTCCATCCTCAGCTCTGGAATGAGTCATTTCATTGAGGAGCCTTCTTGTTGGAGGATAGGGTTTAGAAACCAGAATCTGGATCCTAGGTGTGCTCATTAGTATTGAGATGTCATTACTTCTAGGCCTTTTCTCAGGCAGAGATAGGAAATGTATGTATATCTGTTTGTATACATAGGCATCCCCTTACAGACACACACACACACACAATCTATATTTCTGTGTCTATTTATATATCTGTGTATTAAAACCGTGAATCTATAGTGATGCCTCAAATTTCAGTCTGACACCCACAGGGCTTATTTTAACTTTCCTTCTTCATTTGTGACTCCATTCTCTGATAGTGACAAACAAGTCTGGCTCCCATTACCCAGAATACTTTGGTTCTTTTTGTTTTGATTTTGAGAATATATAATCAGAATACTGTATTTGAGAAGTACTCCAGCTCTTTTATTTCCACCCTTTGTATGGTTATGTTATTTATTTGAAATACAGTTAGGTTATTTGTTTCTCTTTGAATTCCATTTTAGGCTTTTCCTTCACTTAGCCCTCCCCTGCCCACAACTTTGTTGACTTTATTTACTTGTATGTGAAAAACTAATTTGGTTCTTAATGTCAGAACTATACAAAAATATATATTCAGAGAAGTATGACTTTTTGCTCATCACCCTTCCTGTCTTCCACCCTCTTAACTCCCATACTTAACATCTTATTCCCTGTCACCCTGTACGTAGCCATCCTCATTAGTTTTCAGTTTATCTTTCTTACATTTCTTATTGATGAGAAGATATGTATTTTTTTATTTTTTTTTTTAAAGACAGAGTCTCACTCTGTCAACAGGCACCAAGCTGGAGTGAGTGCAGTGGCGCAGTCTCGGCTCACTGCAATCTCTGCCTCCTGTGTTCAAGCAATTCTCCTGCCTCAGCCTCCCGAGTAGCTGGAACTACAGGCCCACGCCACCACACCCAGCTAATTTTTGTATTTTTTAGTAGAGACAGGGTTTTACCATGTTGGTCAGGCTGGTCTCGATCTCTTGACCTTCTGATCCACCCACCTCGGCCTCCCAAAGTACTGGGATTACAGGCGTGAGCCACCACACCTGGCCGATATGTATATTTTTAATTCTTTTTCTTTCTTCGTAAGGTAGCATACCATTCTCTTTTTTTGCTGTTTGCTTTTTTTCACTTAACAATATAGCTTGGTACAAAAACAAAACAAAAACACCAATACAGTGTGAAAATTACTCCTTATCAGTTCAGAGAGATTTTTCTTTCTTTTTCTGATAGTTTCCTATTATAATACCACTGTGGAAAAAGTGTCATATATTTTTTTCAAATATTCTACATTCAGAGCATGTATTTTGCAATTACAAATAATGCTGTAATTAATAGCATTCTGCATGTATATTTATATATTGTTATGGATATATCTTCAGGGTAAATTTCTGGTAGTGGAATTGCTTAATCAAAAGGTAAATGCATATGTAATTTTATTAGAGATTGCCCATTTTCAATTCAACAGGGATAGACCAGTTTGTTTTCCCACCAATGTAGGAGAGTACCTGTTTTCACATAGCCTCACCAATAAAAAGTGTTACACTTTTTTTGTTTTTACCTTTTTTTCTGGTGGTAGAAAAATTATATCTCAGTGAATTTTTAATTTTGCTCCCCTCCTCTCATGATTTTTCATTTTATCATTTTTTTTCTTATGACTGTAATTGACCATTTTCTTAACTTGAGGGAGGGCCATACAAATCCAGACTGCAGACAAGTTAGCCTTTGGGCCATTGCTGACCCCTAGTTCGAGTCCATTATTTTGCATTTGCTTTTTTTTTTTTTTTTTTTTTTTTTAATTCCATTTTAGTGTCTGTTCTTTTTCTTTGCTTGACCTTCTTTTGAGCCACTTTCTCTTTGACTTTTTTTACTTCTTTATCTCATGTTTATTCTCTTGGCTGTTTTCTGCTTTTTTCAGTATCCCTTATTGTATTTTCATTTGAGATTATTCTTTGTTAGTCATCCTGTAATTTAGATTTTCTTTTTTTTCTTTTTCTATTTCTTTTCTAACACTATGTCTCTTTTTATGTCTATGGTTGTTCATCTGTTTTTAACTTTTAATTTCCCTTTTTATTTCCTAATGCTTGTTTGAGGATAATGTAATTGAGTTTAGAGTGCTATATTACAGTCCTTCTTCTGATTCATGCCTGTTTCTTGGGAGTAGAGGCAGATTTTCATATACTTAGGTGTTTTCATTTCATTTGCTGTGTTTTCATCTCACAGTTACTTTGTATGTTAGTAATTTCTTGGAGTTTTTTTTTTTTCTTACAAGAATTCCTAGTTTAAGGTTACTCTCCTTTCATTGTAACAAAGTATGCTTTCTTTAATGAGTGGCTTTTTTTAGTAACTGGGGTTGTTCTGTGATCTTTCTGGTAGGGAAAAGGTTCTCTCTTGTTTCTCAGGTATCTAAATTTTGCTCTTTTGAGTTTTCCTTTATCACCTGATTTTCAAAGGGCTTCTCCTTTCTTTTTTAGCTTTATTTACCAAAATTTATACCCTTTGACCTCTGCCACCTTGAATTTTCTTTTAAGTCCCTTCCTTGAATTTTCTTTTAAGTCCCTTCCGCGTGGTCAGTGCTGTGTTTACCAGGCCTCCTTCAGAACAGGCTATCCTCACTTTGCATGATAGTGCCAAACTATAATGATAACCACACAAGCTAAAATGATACAAAGTGATTTTAATCATCAGTGGGAAAAATTATGATTGTTTTGTGACTTTTAAAATCTTTGCCCGAACATTGTGAACTCTTCCTGTCAGTTACAAATGTATAATATTTTAAATAGTAAAATCAGTATATAGTATGCTATCATTTAAAACATTAGAAATAATGAGAATATTGCCTTCTCATTATGTAAGTTTTAAGATGGATTATTTTTTCTGTGTCTTGGCGAATGATCATAATCTGAGTTTCTGTCGGCTTCCAACTTTGTATGTTTTATGTTTTCAGTGTTGTGCAATATCTCTGAGAATTCCTTTTATGTGACGTTTTTTTGCCAGGAGCAGTTCCCTAGAACATCTTCATCTTTTTATCACAACCCCTCCCCTTGCTTATAGATGTTTCATCTTCACTTAGTTCTTCTGATTATATACCGAAGAGTCTCAAACAGCAATATCGTCGACATTCCCATAATAGCTGTTTCTTCTGTAACTCCGATTTTAATTTCACACCCAGTGTTACTGCTTTTTATTTCTTTACTGCACTTTCATCTTTGTTGGCCAAGCCCCTCTTTTTGTTGTGCCTTTTAATGAAACATCATGTGGGTTTATCACTGAGAGACAAAGAGACAACACAGCCATACTCTGCTATCTGTGTGTGAACTGAGTAACATGTAAAATGACCAATTCCTAACCTTTGAAAAAGGTGGTATGATTGGTCAATGATGGCGATGCATATCTGTTATTTATGTAGTGACTTGCAGACTGAAGAGCTAGCAATGAAGGTTTGTACCTTTTGCAATCACAGTTAATACGCTGCTTTGGTTACTGAAATTTGAATCATGTTGTGTTATTTAGCTAAACCATGGTAACTGGAATGTGTGCATAAGATAATCATGCAAAGTGAGAACTACCTTTATTTCTCATATTTAGGGTGGACTTTCTCTTTTAGGCAGTGATTTTAGATCAATCTCGGACATACCATTAGCTCCCTTCTTCTCATGGTTTTTCACAGTTCACCCTTGCTGTCTGCAAAGGGGTGTCAGAGATGCACTAGATGGCTTGCTGGGATTTGATGTTTCTTTTTCTGTAGACAGGTAATCTGAAGTTTGAGTGTGTCTTCTTGCTTTGCTAAGGTTTGAATTTTCAAAGTTTTATTGTTCTTCTGTTTTGATTTTGGAGTGTATGTGGGGAGATTCAAATAATGGTGCCCAATAATGGCTACCATTATGCCCAATGACCCCAAACTGCCTCAGAGTAGACTTGTTTCATGTTTATAATGTTCTATCAGTGTGAAATCCTTACATTTTCCTCCAACTCATATATACTTGCAATGTGAAAGGAGTAAGGTTTATATATAGTTTTTTATTGAGTAGAGATTGAATATGTAGATAACTTTGAACAATCTATTCTCAGAATGCCTATTGTATGAATTTAGTGATTTAGTCTGGTGAATAAGAAGACAAAAATCAGGTACTTGAAAATGCCTAATTCTACTTGTCCGTGGGGAAAGATGCACATTTTGGAAGATATAAAGGAGAAATAAAATTAGAAGAAACCAAAAAAACGTAGTGCTATGGCAATTTATTTATTCATTTATTAATATCATTATTATTTCCCTATTAAACTGAATGATGTTTTTCTTTTTCAGTCCTATGACAATGGACTGGCACAGGGAGCTGGACTTGAATCTCATGGTAAGACATCTTAAATAAGTGAACATGTAGTTTCTTTTGTTCCCTTAGACAACATCTTGGTGTCTTCAGTATGGAGAACCTCAAAAGTTTTTCTGAACCCTTGGTGCAGCCTAATTATCTTCTTTGTCACTTTCCTCCTTCTCTTTTGACACCATATGATCTATTTGAAGCTTCTTTGGTCAGTAATAATTCAGATATTATTTAGGCTGGGATGTTCATATGATATTTTCTAGTAACCTATTCAAGTGTTAGCTGTATGAAAATATCTTGGGATTGTTTCTTACTCTATTGTTAGAAAACAACAGGTTTTCTTTTTTGGTGTAACTCTAAAAGGCTAGACCAAATACAGACTATTAAACGTGAATGAACAAGTTCATGAAGAAATGAAAATTCTTATTTACCTTCCTTAATAAAGTTATTCTTAGTCATAGCCATGAAACATTTTGCTGCTCAGTGCAAACATTAATACAGCTTTTTCTTTCATGTTTTTTTCTTTTCAACTTGTGGCAGAACCAGAATAATGATGTGATAGTCACTAAGTTTGTCAGCACATCAGTAGCCTGAATTCTCTCAAGTTGAAATTTCCATTTGGAAATAAATAAGCTTCCATTCTTCTTTTCTAAAAAGAAAGAGGCTTGGTCATGGAGCCTCTCTGAGTGAATGTCAGTTCCCTCCTCATCACAGCAGTTTTCTGTATGATTATTTGTTATCTCCATCCCTTTGCTAGCATAATGGAGCAGAAAGAACAGATCAGTGTTCTGGTCTCAGCCCTGACACCAACTGAGTGACCTTGGCTCCTCACTTAATTTCTCTGAGGCTTTCCTCATCAACAGAGTAGTAAGAATTGCATCTTTCTCTAGGATTGTTGTTAGGATTATAAGAGATATGGGAGAAAGTGGATTTTATAAAATCTGTATAAAAAGATTGGAAATTATAACATCTTATAAAAGGATATTTTTAACAAATATTCCTTAACCCCATAGCCTTGTATATACTCTGGGATTTTGTCCTATCAAGTATTTCCTCCTCTTCTCACCTCTTCACTCGCTCCTTCAATATAGGTAGTTGTAGAGTATGTGTTTCTAAGGGGTATATAGAACACTTCCATGGCATTTCCTCTGAAGCCATACTATAATTATGACACCATAATTTGTGTGTGTGCATGAGTCTCTATGAGATGGAGGTTGGGAGGAGCTAACAGTAACAATTATGTTACTAGTCATCGCCAGATGATCAAGAGGGGTATAGTTATAGTTGCACACAGAGGAAATCCGGCAACTCTGAGAATTTCTGAGAAGACAGGATCTGGTGTTCACTATCGTAGTTGGTGTTAATGTGCACCCTGGCTGAGGAGTCACCTCACCTGCTCAGGAGACCCGTGAGACAGCTGATATTATTTCACATTGGGATTATATTTTCTGGAGTATTAAACAAGGGGGCTGCCCAAACATGACACTGTCTAATGGGTCCTGTCAGGGAAAAAATCTTCCTGAGTTATACAAGTCATGATTTTGAGTTGGTATGATTTGAATAGGTCGTACCCATCAGGATCATCAGTGATGGACTATAGTTCATGCCCAAAAGCTTACATCTTCCTTCTATGTGTAAATTTGGCTTGGTGGGTTTGAGGCCTAAAGCCCTAGAGGAAGGCCTTTTAATCAGAGTGTCGCAGTGTATTTGTATACCTTAAATAGCTTATTATACCAAATGTAGTCCCTTCAGTCTTTGGAGCAACCAAACAGAACCTCGGGATCTGGAATCCCTGGTAAGGTTGTCTCTGGCCGGGAGCATCCTCCTCAGTATTACAGTATGGCCTACAAATACCAAATATTATAATTTTCTTTGTGTGCTGTGAAGTTAGCTAGGAAGTACTATCCTAAAGGATTTTGGTTTCATTTTCTTTCTCCTTCTCATCACTACACTGGAAAATGAAACCTCTTTCTGAAAAGTAGTCCTGCAATTTGGTCACCTCATCAAGTCATTGTGTTCTCTCGTTTTCTTTTTTTTGTTACTGTCTTTGGAAAAGTGGTCCAAATGTACTATTCACCTTTCTTCACAGATGACTTGTTCTGTAATTCTCTGTGTAAGCCTTCAGCAACTTACAAAGTTTGTCTTTGAAAGTCATGAGTATTTCAAATCCAATGTCTTTTTCTCATTCCTCATATTTATCGAAGCATTTGAGCTATTAACCTTCCCACATCACATTCCACTTGTCCCAATTCCTCATGAATTAGTACTGGTTCCTTCACCATCTTTGTTTCTTCCTCTCATTTCAGCTTTCTTCGTTTCTTTGGATTGTTATTCCTAAATCTCAAGGCTTTTGTACGTGCTGTTTCTTGTACATAGATTCTTCTTCCCTCATCCTCCACCTCCAGCATACACCTGGTTTTCTTTCACATTCTTCAGATCTTGGTTCAAGCTCCCTGTTTAAAATTGCAAACCATCCAGATACACACCCAGTGTTTATAATAGAATTGCAAACCAACTACACATACACATCCCATTCTCTAACCCCCTTTCTGGATTTATTTTTCTCCATATCACTTATTATTTTATAAATGACCTGTGTTTTATCTATTTGTTTGTTGTCTGCTTCTCACTTAAACCTCATGAGAAGAGAGATTTTTGCCTGTTACCCCTGATATATCCCCTGTTACATCCCCTACACCTGTAACATGCTTGACGCATAGTTGAACAAACTAACAGATGGTTCTTTATTAATTATCTCTCTGTCGATAGTACCCAAAACAGTGTTTCCCTACCTGTACTGTTGCTTCTGTGCTCCATAGTCCCCTTCCCGTTTGTTAGCCAAGCATCTTTCTCAATACAACTTCGGTACCTCAAACTATATATTTTTAAAACCATCATTCTCCTCTTCTCTTCCTCCTGAGCCTGTTCTTGCTATTCAGAAATAACTTAGATTTATTGACTTTTTTTTTTTTTTTTGGTTGGGGGAAGCCAACAATCCAGAATTTTGAGTTTAATTTTAATCTCCTTTTCTGTTTTTAATTTGCCAGTTACACCAATTGTCCTCCATAAATTACCAATTTATAATCCCTGATCTGCAGACTAAAAGGAAAATAATGTATTTATTAACCAGCTGCTGTGTGCCTCCTACCATCTGATACTTTACATACAGTCTCATTGAGTCCTCATATCAACCTCTGAGAATAGACATTTTTGTACTAGTCAGAACTCAGAGAAGTAAAACCACCATGAGTGTTAAAGAATAAAGGCTGTGGCCGGGCGCGGTGGCTCAAGCCTGTAATCCCAGCACTTTGGGAGGCCGAGACGGGTGGATCACGAGGTCAAGAGATCGAGACCATCCTGGTCAACATGGTGAAACCCCATCTCTACTAAAAATACAAAACATTAGCTGGGCATAGTGGCGCGTGCCTGTAATCCCAGCTACTCAGGAGGTTAAGGCAGGAAAATTGCCTGAACCCAGGAGGCGGAGGTTGCAGTGAGCCCAGATCGCGCCATTGCACTCCAGCCTGGGTAACGAGTGAAACTCCATCTCAAAAAAAAAAAAAAAAAAGAATAAAGGCTGTAATAGAAATATGATTTTATAAAGTAACTGTGGAGGAAGATGGAGAAGAACCTAAAAGGGATAGTTGGAGGGTTGGGGAAAAATCAGTGACAGGCCTCCTGAAGCAGTGGCACAGGTGGACAAGTCAGGCCGTATAGGGAAATCTAAAAGCCAAGCACATGGCTGTCATCTGCCAGATTGTGACTGTGGAGAAGTCTGTGAAGGGCTGGTACTCCTGCATCTCTTTGTGGGCCTGAGGTAAGCAGGGCAAGAGTAGGAAGAATTTGGATGCCAAGTATAAGGGAGAAGGAGGCAAGCTGGACTCTAACAGCACCATTGCATTTGTTGCTTACCTCCACTAACCATAACCAGGGTAATGAGTGCCATTAGACTTCCACCTTACAAGTCTCACACAGATTTCTCTAACTTTTGACCATACAAGCAAGGGGATCCTGGGAAACAGAATTCTAGCTTAGCCAAGTTGACACAGTACAAAGCCACAATAATTACTGTCATTTCACTCAGAGAAGTCACTTGCTTAGTAGGCTCACAGATCAGGTAAGTGTCATAACTCACTTTAAAACTCTGCTTGTTCAATAATCCCATCCTGCCTCTCTAGTTTATTCTTCTGTAATCTGATTCCAGTCTAGCTTTGTAGACTCATATCTGAGTCATCTCTTCCATGCAGTCTAGGTTATAAGAAAACATATTCTCCAAACATTTGTACATGGCTTTTCACCTCTGGATGTTGCTAATACACCTTTTGCTTTGCTTGAAATGCTTCCTTTCCACCTGCTTCTGCTTGTTTCTCTTTTCATAACGATCAGAGTTTATCTTTCTATACCTGGTTCCGGGGGTTCCAGTGTCATCTTCTCTGTAAAACATTTCATCATCTTATGGTTCCTCTAATTCTAAGCAATATTTCCCTTTTCTGTATTCCCATAATACTTCATTATGTCATTTTTATGGTACTTACCTCTTTATCTTCTTTGCTGGATTGTAAGCTGGTCATGTCGTAATCATGTCTTGTTCCATATGCCCTTGTACACTGCAGTATTTGATGAATTAGTTATCCTGTGTTTCACTTTGCATCTCTTGCTTAGGAAGTTGAATTTAGAATGTGTACTTCTGCTACAGTTTGTTTATAATTTAGTTTCTTCATGCAGCTTTCTCATTCCCCAATTTAAATATTATTTTATATTAATTTATATATATATGCACACACATATATATACACACATACATATATATATATATATATACACACACACATATATATATATATATATATATATATTTTAAATTCAGCTGCTCTCCTCCAAGTGTTACTTAGCTTGGAGCCCATTTTTCATGAAAACTAAACAGACATATTTTAGCCTTTTAGGCCATGATCATCAAATGTAGTGATTCTCTTTATCTCCATGATTCCCTTAAGAAAGTACATGTTGAGTGTCCCTTATCTAAAATACGT